TTAACAGGTTACAGGGCAACGCCCCAGCTCCGGCCAGCGTCGTTCTGGCATCAGCAAACCAAGGGCACAGAACAGAGCAACTCAGTTGAAATCAGTCCAGGTTCAACCATCTCTGAAGTCCTATATCCCGAATGTGGAAGAATGCTAGATGCTGCCAAAAACTTCAGAACACCAAAAACCTTAATATAACAATAATCAGATGATGAAACTAATGGTGTGATGATGATGATGATGATGATGATGATGCTATATCAGCTATTCTGGGCTCCTAATCCCAGTACAACTCCTAGCCCTCCCTGTACCAGGACACTATACTACAGAGACAGAAACAACCTGACCAACATCAACCATAGCTGATCTCTTCTCGCCTCCTTTCAGCGCCCCCGGTTCACCACTGGAATGCCTTCCACCCTCAGCAAACCCCAGATCTCTCTACAAGGCCTCACACTCCTGCTATTTACAGGTTACAGGGCAACGCCCCAGCTCCGGCCAGCGTCGTTCTGGCATCGGCAAACCAAGGGCACAGAACAGAGCAACTCAGAAGATATCAGACCAGGTTCAACCATCTCTGAAGACCTATATCCCGGATGTGGAAGAATTAGAGATGCAGCCAGAATTTCAGAACACCAAAAAGCTTAATATACCAATAATCAGATAATGATAGCCGAGAATTTCAGAACACCAAAAAGCTTAATATACCAATAATCAGATAATGATAGCCGAGAATTTCAGCACACCTCCATTCTCTCCATTACCCCATTTATCCCTTTACTCTAATCTGCCCCCGTTGGGATTTGATGCCCAGCCCCAGAAAAGAGTATTCCTCACAATCTGCCCATACCCCCTCCAGGATTCCACCTCCCTCCTAATGAAACCCCTGCGGGGCAGGGCTCTCCCCTACCCCCTCACCAAATTGTCATTCCACTTGGATTTTGTTGGAGGCGAAGGATACCGCCCTGAAGATAATGATAACGGGAATGATGATGATGATACGAAAAGCGACACGAAGCCTTGAAGAGCAAACTCTACTGATAACAAAAAGATATCGATAAAGATGATGATGATGATGATGATGATGATGATGATAAAGATGATGATGATGATGATGAAGATTAACCAATGATGATACTCATGATGATGATTATGATGATATCAATAATGTTGCTGTTGCTTCTGCTGCTGCTGCTGCTGATGATGATGATGATGATGATGATGATGATGATGATGATGATGAAGATGACGCACCAATGAAGATGCTCATATTGATGATGATGACGATGATGATGATATGTCAGTTATGCTGACGATGATGATGAAGATAATGATGATGATGATGTTGATGATGATGATACTGATGATGATGATGATGATGATGATGATGAAGCTGATGATGAAGCTGATGATGACTCACCAATAAAGATGCACATAATGATGATGATGATGTCAGAAATGCTGCTACTGYTGCTGATAATGCTGATGCTGATGCTGCTGCTCCTCTCTGTCCTTCTGTTGCCCAGCACTCCCGCTGCCACGTTCTTGATGCTGTTGATGATGGCAACGGTGATGACTAATCTCGTTACTGATGATGATGATCATGGTGATAATGATATTGATGACAATACTATTGCTGCTGAAGCTGATGATACGATGATGATATGCTCCTGTAGATGCAATGTAGATGGAGCAGAAAGAATGACGATCATTCGAGTAGAAGCCTCCCCCTTGTAATGAGCACTTGACGGAACTTGGATTCTCTCCTCGAAGCCCTCCCACTCACTATCCCCTGACAATCCTCCTCCCACTCCACGGGACACACTGTACTCTTCTTCTTCTCACGCCGAGCCGACCTCCTCCACCAAAAGTCGCAAGATGAAGAGCACTAGTGATTACTCCTAGAGTAATGCCCAAATAACTTGAAATAAGAAGTACCCTCCTTCATCCGGCATGCTATCCTGTAGCATCACTCGTTTGAAGCGCAAAGTAGAGAGATGGCAATAGACCTGCTTTCAAAAGTCAGGAAACAGCAGGTGTTGAGGTTGAAGGCTTAGATGCCATTCCATCCCCCCGTCGTCCTCATCGTCCGACACGCTTGAATTTCATGGCGCGCCCTAGAACTTCGATATCTCATGATCCGCTGGACCGTTTGGTCTGAAATTTGGACCACCTCAGCTCCTCAGCGTAGACCACCGGCGGTCCAATTTTCAGCTCAGGGCGCGCGCCCAAT